TCACACACTGAAGTTTCCAAACCATCTCCAGAAGCAGCCACACATATAAAGCACTGCAGAAATCTAACCTAGAGATTAGGGGAAATTGCTCTGCAAAAGCAAAATGTGTAAGGTGAAATTCATACCAAAATGCTGATGAGTTAGCATTAGGACTCTTTTTTAAAAAAAGTAAATCACAAACTGATGTGGAAATGTCAAGAACTGAACTTAACAGTGGAAAAATGAGAAACCAAGAAAAACCAAAAATGACAAATTCACCAATTCCTACCGTTTTGTCTAATAAAGGTAAAGGTACCCCTGCCCGTACGGGCCAGTCTTGACAGACTCTAGGGTTGTGCGCCCATCTCACTCAAGAGGCCGGGGGCCAACGCTGTCCGGAGACACTTCCAGGTCACGTGGCCAGCATGACAAGCTGCATCTGGCGAGCCAGCGCAGCACACGGAAACGCCGTTTACCTTCCCGCTAGTAAGCGGTCCCTATTTATCTACTTGCACCCGGGAGTGCTTTCGAACTGCTAGGTTGGCAGGTGCTGGGACCGAACAATGGGAGCGCACCCCACCGCGGGGATTCGAACTGCCGACCTTCCGATCGGCAAGCCCTAGGCGCTGAGGCTTTTACCCACAACGCCATCCGCGTCCCGTTTTGTCTAATAACCACCAACAAAGATAGATAGATAGATTAGTTTATTACGGCCATAGGCCCATATTCAATACATCATGCAACAGAACAAGTATAACAAAATAAAATTAAAAAATTAAAAATTAAAATACATTTAAATCAAGTACATCTCAAACCGTAAATTTCTAAATTCCATTAAAATAAGAACAATATATCGCTTAAAATATCAAATTATCAATATATATCAATATTATTTAAGCAAAATCAATAGTCATAGAGTAATCCATTTTTCCTCTTATAAGCTAATACTGTTATCAGAAATCTGGCAACAGAAAGGGACCTACTCGGATCAGAATCTTGCAATAAATATATTAGCTGTGTTTCCAAGGAGTCACCTGAGATTTCCAATAATAAAGGGGACAAGAATCTGATCCGAGAAACTGAATGTAGTGGACAACAGAATAGTATATGTTGTAAAGATTCTATAGATCTATTATCACATACACACACCGCTGAGATCTGACCATTGGAAAATCTATTATTCAAGACATTGGAAGGAAAGGCGTTAAATCTTGCCTTAATAAAGGCATATCTGTGGACCGCTACAGACAAAGAAGTCAAATAAGATGGTATCTGCTGTGAGGGGACTATGCCAAGATTTAATGGTGAGCAAGTGCCACTACCCAAAATGGTGTTTTGTTGTAGGTCAATCTCCTCAAGTTTTTGAGTGAGGGTTTTTTTTGCTGTGGCTAGGTCCAATTCCAATAATTCTGATGGAGACAATCCATAGGTCACTACTTTAGAATGGATCTCTTTTGCCCCTAGGACGGGAAAATTATCTCTCCAGAGGCATTGGATCAAATACAGGTTCGGGAGTCTATGCCTTAAGGACAACCAGTAACAAAGGCTACGCCTCCAAAGAGTATTTTCTAAAGATGTAGTTTTTTAATTCTAAGCGAATAGCTGCGTTACTAACGCACTGAGGGAGTTTTAGCAGTCGTCTTAGAAATTGATTTTGAATTACCTCCAAGGGCATCAAGTTTACTGCGGTCCCCCATAAAGGAACAGCATATGCCAATGTTGCAATTACTTTAGCTTTGAATACTTTCAAGGCAGATGGAACATGAAGAGCCCCGTCCGAAAAGAAAAAGCGCAATAGCGCAAAGGATAGGGCCTTGGCCTTGTTTAAAACATATGCAATATGCGCCTTCCAACCCAGATTATATTGGAGAAAAACTCCCAGGTATTGAAATTTATAGACCTGTTCAATAGGTTTTCCATCTAATTGCCACTTATAGGATTTCCGACTTTTTGAGAAAATTAATACTTTTGATTTAGATTGATTTATAGTGAGGGAATTTGTTTTACAATATGAAACAAAGAGTTTTAATGCTCTCCTGAGGCCAATTCTTGAGAAGGATAAAATCACAGCATCATCAGCATAGAGTAATAATGGGCAACGATAGTTTGCGAGACGGGGGGCATGGATGATTTCCTGAGATTCAGCCAATGGTATCCTCATATCACTAATGAATAAATTGAAAAGAAAAGGAGCTAGGATACATCCTTGCCGGACTCCTCTGAGACCACCAACAAAAATTACAGTTCTTATCCTTTCTCTTCCCAGCATGTTAGAGAGACATGACTATTCCCTCAAACTCCTTCCCTTCCTTTGCCTGATGGCTGAGCTGCCTGAGAGCCAGATGAAACACATTTATGTAAGACAATTGCTTTAAAAACACACAGAGGGCTACAGGAGGTGGTTATATAAAGCTTGAAAGATTAGTTGCTGTGCTCTACCGGATGACTTTGTTATCGGGAAGAGAACTTGCTTTGCTTAAAAAACGGAGGACAGAAGGAACATGGAGAAGGAAACCATAGAAAACTTTGCTGAGTTCTTTGGAAAAGAGTTAAACTTTGTGTGATGTGGAAAAGAGCATGACTGCTTGCTTGCAATGTGAAGAATTATAATCAAACAATGCGGGAAGTTAAAGAATGTGAGTGGTATTCAATGAAATAATTGCACAAGCGGAACTAATTCCACTTACTGTACACTATGGGACTTCCATTTCTCTCCAGACACCCCATGCTATCCCCCAACCTGCTCCAGAAGGTCAAGAAAAAACTAGAACAAATTTTTGGGGGGCAAAGGAGGAGAAGGGGGAACCAGGGGCGAACGAAGGCGTTGCAACACCCGGGGCAGGGTGTCGCTACTTAGGGCACATGTGCGGTGTCGCTACGCATGACGCATGCGCCGTACGTAGTGACGCCGCACATGCGCTGTACATAGCGGTTTGCCGGCACCGGTGCTCCAGCACTGTATGGATGGTGCCAGGATCCTCTGCTCGCAGTTGCAGCAGCGAACGGAAGATCCTCTACATGCGGCTGTAGTGGCGATGGAGGGATCCCATGGCTGTCCATACAGCGCAGGAGCGGTGCCAGTGGCAAACCGCTATGTACAGCGCATGTGTGGCGGCGTTAAGTACAGCGCATTTGTGTGACACTGCACATGCGCTGTACATAGCGGTTTGCTGCTGGCACCAGGATCCTCTGCTCGTGGCTGCAGCCATGAACGGAGGATCTGCCACATGCGGCTGCGGCGACATGATGGCTGCTTGTGCTGCCATGGCGGGGTGAGCTCCAGTGGGGTGCCGCCTTGTCATCCCCCGAGACATGGCACCTGGGGCGCCCCGTACCCACATTGCGATGCCACTGGGGGAAACCGGTCTGTTGCCCAAGCAGAAGTCATTCTGTTTTTGCAATTATTCAGTTGAATATCTCCCCTAATTAATAATATTATTTGTTTACCAATAATCAAGACAGGAGGTGCTTTAGCCCTGAAGTGACATGCAGCATCTTCGCTGAAAATATCTAATTGGAATTGAGCACTGATGGCTTTGATGGCTACCAATACATCTGACCTGGTTTGGTCATGCAGAAGGAGACGGTTTAATAGTTCAGCATGATGCCAATGAAGGAAACAGAAGATTGATATCTCTAAGCTGTACTTTTGTACTGTTTTATTGTTGTTAGCCGCCCTGAGCCCAGCTTCGGCTGGGGAGGGCGGGATATAAATAAAATTTGTTGTTGTTATTATTATTATTATTATTATTATTATTATTAAGTACCTGGCAAGGGGGGGGTGTTAATACTACTGAGGATCTGTCCTCCCATCCTCAACCTGTATCTCTTAAAATAAACAGTAAATAAACAGTAAACAGTAAATAAATAAACAGTAAAAATAATAAATCCTATCAGTGCTCTTGTGGAAATGGACCCTGTAAACGGTTGCACTTCAAACTTTGTTTTGTTCATGGAAATGCAAAGCACAAAACTATGAGTTATACTTAGAAAAATTGTGATATAAATGTTGCTATGTGCCCAAAGCATTTCCCATCAATTATCTCAGTGATCTGTACAACAGTTCCTTCGTAAACCTGGAACCTTCCACCTGTTCTTGAATTTCAGTTCCAAGCCAGCATGGCCGATGCTTGGTCAGGGATGATGGGAGCTGCAATTCACCCCTGTCTTAAAATAAATCAACTTTATCCCCATTCTGCAGATTGGAGAGTTAAAGCTGAGGCTGGGAGAAAGCAGCTTACCTAAAGTAATTCAGCCATGAGCTCATAGCTGAGGCAGGAGGTGAACAAGAGTGTGCAGCCCATTTCTCAATCACTTCATTCCTGCATTGCAGGGGGTTGGACTAGACGACCCTTGGTTCATTAGCTCTGTATCATTGGACGAACAGGCAAGCCCATGCCTTTATGTTTTTTCCATTCACAGCTTTGGAAATGACGGCACATTTTAGAAGAATGGGGTAATTTGGGTGGCATAAAAGAGCCAAAATGCACAAATCAAAACTGCCATGTGCTACAGCTCTTGCAGGGCTCCACCAGTTCAGACCACAGGAGGCATCTTTGAATGATCTCCATACAAAGCACACCCCTGACTATGTGACGCTAGCACGGGCTGGGAAACTGTTCTCCGTAGACCTATCTCTCTGAGGTGCTTTGTCTCCGCAAGGAAGCTTTTAATATGGGGCGCACACACGCCTTTAAGTTAGCGTCCCCCTGATCTGAATGTTCCTGGACCACCTTCATTCAAGAGGGAGCCTGGCCCGAGATGGGAAGGAGCAGGGAGCAAGGTGGGGTGGGGAAGGAAGGAAGGGTGGGGCTACCGCTCCCCCACCACCCCCTTTCCACCAGGAATATCCCCTTCCTACTCTCAAGGCGCCCCCACTTGTTGCCATTGCAATCTCTTTCCCTCCAGCAGCCAGGGTGCTCCTATCCCTTCCTCATCATGCAAGCGCTCTCTCTCTCTGGAGGAGGCTGCTCGTTCACGGGCGGAGCCACGAGAAGATGGAGAGACAGAGGGAAAGAGGGAGGGCGGGGAGGGCGGTGTTCTCTCCCTGGGCTGAGCTCGTGGGCGCTGCCTGTCTTCTTACCTGACAAATCAGGCGGAGAGAAGAGGCAGCGAAAAGGAGAGAGAGAGTGAAGCTTTGCTCCCCCACCCAACACACACACACACACACCAGGCGCCTTGGAACTGGAGGGCAAGATCTCTCGCCCCCCCCCCCCGGTCCTTTCCTTCCAACTCCTTCCAGCTTTGCGAAACTGGGACCACCTGGGTACCACTAGACGCGGCTGGACTCTTCTCTCCCTGTATCCTTCAGCAGCCATGTACTGATCAGAGCATCCTTCGGAACTCTCCTCTTTTTTGTCGCTCTCGCTCTTTCTGGTCCTCCCTTTACGCTTCAAATTCAACAGTTCTAGAGAAGTACCGAGGCAAGGAGCAAGAGGGTAAGCAACCTGGATGAAATTTATATATCTTCGTTTTCCTATGGTGGTGAGGCGGTAGAAGGGGGTGGTACATGATGAAGGAGGACTTTTGATTATGTGGTCCTGTTGCACGCTTAGTAAATCGCACTGGACCCGACGAGGTTTACTTCTGCAAAGGCATGGGCAGAATGCTAAAAACTGATGTCATATGTAGGTTTTCAACTCGGAAGTAAGTTCCCTTGTGTACTCAATGGGGGGCTTACTTCTCTGCAAATGTTCGGAAGCTTGTAGACTGCTATGCCTACGCTTGCAGCCTTTGCATGCTTACTTTGGAGTAAGCCCCGTTGAAATGAACAGGACTCACTTCTGAGTAAACATACATTAGACCATGCTACAAAATATATCTTGTGTACGCACATACACAGATACACACACACTCCCCAAACCCAGAAGCTTGGCTTTGGGGGAAAGGGAAAATTATAATTTCAATAATGAATATATTTAAGTGTCTGTCATTAGCTAAGCAAGAAAAACTCCTGTATGAGGAAAGGTGGGACAGGAAGGCAGCAATGGGAGCTGTCTTGTTGTGTTTCTGATGGACAAAAGAGAGCAGGTGTTTAGCACAGAAGCCTTCCTCTCTAAGCAGTGACTGTTGAATTGTGTGGCTCTTTAGATGTTGTTGGACTCTATTTCCTGTCAGCACAAGTCAGCATTGTCCAAAGGACAGGGATGATGGGATATAGTTTAGCCACCCCGATTTAAAGAGATATGCATGTATAGGCATGGTGCTGGACCACAAATTCCCTTGTCCCTGACCATTGACCATGTTGACTTGGGCTGATGGATGTTGGAGAACTACAGGTTGTCCTCCACCACACTTGATTTAACTCAAGGGCCCTACCCTGTTCCACCATGAGATCAGAGCTATATAGGCACCCAGTTTAATTTGCCAGCTTTCTCGGGAATCCTAAGAGAGCCTAGCCATGTTTGTTGTGACATTCAGTCTTCGTATATATACAAGTACTATCGCTTCAGAAAATGGTGAAGTGTGTGACTGTCCCCAGTTGTTGTTTTTTTTTTTGGGGGGGGTGGACACAAAAATGTGGAAAGTGCTCAGTTGAGAAGGGGACTCATCCTAAAAGGAGAAACCATGTCCAGAGCCTGCCTCTGATAGAACAGAAATGGAACAACATCCATTCTAGAAGAATTTGCTGCCTGCTAAATCTCCCATTTGCAGACCATCTCCTTTCTGTTTCCAAACCATTAAACATGGTGTCTACTGTCTTAGTACTCCTCCTCCCACAAACGAATGGTTTATCTTCCCTTGTGTAAGAGACTGTGTGTGTGTGTGTGTGTGTGTGTGTGTGTGTGAGAGAGAGAGAGAGAGAGAGAGAGAGAGAGAGAGAGAGAGAATGAGCAAGAACACACACCATGTGCCATTGTATGCAGGGATCTGCCTTCCTTTCATTACCAGGGAATTGGATGCCTTTATTGACAAGTCCGATGAAGTTTTGGCTCTTGTCCAGGGATTAGCTGAGATAGCGGTGGTTCTCAAGATTTGTTTACTACATCACCTAGACTATAAATATACAAATAGACTAGACTAACAGCACTGAGATTGTTGTTTACCCAATGATTAAGGGGGAAAGTCAAGCGTGTGTGTGTGTAAAAGAGAAATTGAAATCAAATTACGTAAAGTGAAGAACTTGGCAGTGGTGTTTTTTAAACTATGCAGCTGTGAACAAAAGTGAATCAAGGTCAGCCAACATGTCACAGAGATGAACACACCACTTCTTTGCAAACTTACCCTGGTGCAATTCCATGACTGATTGGCATTTTCCTGAACACTTGCAATATACGGGTGTTTTTAAAGAAAATCCTGTGCAGGGCTGGCATGTAAATGAACATGATCTCAGGGGCTAATGTTAGCATCTTCAGATAAAGACAGCTTAATACCCCTCCCCCTCACCTCCCTCTCCTAGGTTTGCTGGATATAGTATATTTCCCAGGAGTTGGTAATGAAGATTCACACTCCTATTTTTAAATAATTACTCATTTGTTCACGGTTTGGAAGGACTTGTTGCAGTTCTCAGCTGTGGCTATGGGGTTCCATTCTCTCTGATGTTTGAGTGTGGCAGAAAAAAGGTCTAAATTGATTTAAAATCTGGTTTAAAAAGGCAAGTTGGCTGCAAGGTACTAACAGCTTTAAAAAGACAATTGGGTATTTTGTGTTCACTGATAGACCTTGTTCTCCCCCAGCAAGGAAACTCTCACTTATTTTTATACTAGCTTCCTGGGCAAATGGACCTCTCAAGGCAACGGTGGCTGATGTTTTAGGGCAAATGGCACATTGCCTACCCAAACTCAGTCATGTCCTGAGTCAGCTTCTGCCTCCAGACTTCTTTCTTAAACCCAGTCCAGTGGGTGGTCCTGATTGTCAGCTTCCTCCTCCTTCATCTCAGTTTTGTCATTCTAGGACGCTGATGTGATTGGTCTATTTATTATATTTATACACTGCTTTCCATTCACATGTATCGCAAAGCGGCTTACAAACAGACAATAACAATAACATTATAGAACATCACAAGTACAATATAGATCATATAGAAGAATTAACCAATCATCAGTAAAACAAGTACAAACCATCAGTAAAACAACTGCAATCTATAAAACACTATTAACAAAACTGCTAAAAAAATTAAGCTAAACAGCACAAAGACAACAAAAATCATATTATTCTTATTTGTTCTTATTTTCTTATCATGTATTTTGCGTCTTTCATCTTGTATTTGTATGTCGTGAACTGCCCAGGGATCTACAGGTGGGGTGGTGGTGGTGTATAAATTTAATTAATAATAATAGTAATATAATAATAATTAATAATAATAATAATAATAATAATAATAATAATAATACAGTGATACCTCGGGTTACAGACGCTTCAGGTTGCATATGCTTCAGGTTACAGATTCCGCTAACCCAGAAATAGTACCTCGGGTTAAGAACTTTGCTTCAGGATGAGAACAGAAATCGGGCTCCGGCGGCACAGTGGCAGCAGGAGGCCCCATTAGCTAAAGTGGCTTCAGGTTAAGAACAGTTTCAGGTTAAGAATGGACATCTGGAACGAATTAAGTACGTAACCAGAAGTACCACTGTAATAATATAGGATTTGCAAAGTGCTACAGCATTCATAATCGAGAAAACCATTCTAACAACATTAACAAGGTAGCAATTAAATAATAAACTAAGTACTGCTGAATTCATACACAGGCTCTCCCCATCTCCTTGACTCATCATCTTCCACTCAATTCAGTTCATTAAAAGACACATCCACACGATGCTCGTGGTGGCATCTTCTTTCTGAAGGCTCTAGGACTGGAGGGTAGGGCAAGGCAGCTGGAAAAAGCCACCCCCTGACGGCCAGCACAAAGTCAGAACCAGAATCAGTTGATTCCACCTGTGATTGGTTTTGGCTCCATTTACTGTCAGCCTGTCTGCCTCTCGCCCAGCCACCACCGCCTGAAGGTGATTCTCAAATCAGATCATTGCACCGTTTTAAAGATAAAGCATGACTCATTGTGACAACAACACACAACTATACATTTCACTCCAAACCAGCAATATTTATCAGCAACATTAAAATGACAGTCTAAAAACCAAAGACCAGCAACATCATTTGACTAAAAGTGGATGTCCTCAGACAGGTCTTTTTTAAAACAACAACAACAACAACATTAAAATCAGTTAACAGATAAGCCAAACACACTTTTCATGGGAAGGCGTTCCATGGTGATAGGCCCATCACTGAGCAGGTAAATTTACCACTGAGCTTCAACCCTTCCTGTATTGGGTTCAACGGCCATGATCCTGTTTCCCTTATTGTGCCTTGATTAGCTCCATATCTTTTTGTCTCCATGGATTGAACTTGCACTGTATGAACAGGTGGGCACCAAATGCTGAACTCTCTCTCTCTCTCTCTCTCTCTCTCTCTCTCTCTCTCTCTCTCTCTCTGCCTTCATTTAATTTGTTTTCTTTGTCTTTCTTTCCAGGGCTGGATATTGACATTCTTTAGCCATGGATGTATTCATGAAAGGATTTAACAGAGCCAAGGAAGGCGTTGTGGCGGCAGCAGAGAAGACCAAGCAGGGCATGGCAGAAGCAGCAGGGAAAACGAGAGAAGGAGTTCTCTATGTAGGTAGGTGTGCAACAAGATCCAAACAGAGACAGTCATTTTTTTTCTTCTTTCACTGCTTTACATTGTGATGTTTAGAAACTGGGTGCCCACAACCATTTTATTATACATATTGCCATACATTATTATTATTATTACCACTATTAGTATTATTATCAGTAGCAGTAGTATTATACCCTTCCCATCTGTCTGGGTTGCCCCAGCCACTCTGGGTGGCTTCCAACACATATAGAAACATAATAAAACGTCTTCTAAAAGTTGTATCCTTAGCTTTATCTCCTTGACATCTGAACAAGAATACAAGATAAAAAGTGGGGTTGTATGTGATCGTGTGTGCACACACAATCTGCTTAGAGAGGGGTGGGGAAAATCTGGCCCTCCAGATGTTTCTGAACTGCAACTCCCATAATCTCTGCCCATTGGCCATACTTTCAGGGGTTGGTGGGATTTGTAGTTCAGCAACATCTGGAGGGCCCATTGCTCCCACCCCTGGTTTAGATATTCCTGTTGAAATATAAAGCTGTATGCAAGTTTTGAGGACAACAACAAATATAAGTTTACATTGCTGCTGCTGCTGTTCATTAATAGATAACATTATTATTGTTCTTTTATTTTATTTATGTACTGCTTAATGCCAAAGTAGGCTTCTATACTTGATGTGTGTGGTAAGATTCTCCTTGCCACTTGGCAAGTCATCTAACAAGATGACCAAGGTTCTCCAGAAAGGAGAACTCATGGATGTTAGGATTGTCTGCACTGTCTCAAAGACCGATGGGAATGGAGGGAGATAGGAGGGGAAGAGCTATCCAGGCATAAGCTGTGAACATTTGTGTAAAACAGGGATGGGAGTTGGAGTGCAAACAGCATCTGGAGGACACAGACCCCCATCCCTGAGGTAAAGCTACTACAAGTTTGAAAGAAAGTTGAGTGTTGGGCACTGAAGATATAAGTATATTCAGCAAGAATGAGAGTTGTTGTGTTCATCTGCAGATGCAAACAAACCAAGGGTGTGTTTACACTACACAGTTATTGGATTCACACCATCATAGCTTCTCCCAAAGAATCCTGGGAATTTAGCTCGGCTGAGGTCATTTTTTGCCTGATAGAGACACCCAGCTTGCTTCAAATAGCAGCAATTCCTAGGGTTCCTTTGGAGGACAGAATTAAGGTTAAACTAAATTTAGAGGCGAAGGGACGCGGGTGGCGCTGTGGGTAAAACCTCAGTGCCTAGGACTTGCTGAGCGTAAGGTCGGCGGTTCGAATCCCCGCGGCGGGGTGAGCTCCCGTCGTTCGGTCCCAGCTCCTGCCCACCTAGCAGTTCGAAAGCACCCCTAAGTGCAAGTAGATAAATAGGTACCGCTTTATAGCGGGAAGGTAAACGGCGTTTCTGTGTGCAGCACTGGTGCTGGCTCACCAGTGCAGCTTCGTCACGCTGGCCACGTGACCCGGAAGTGTCTTCGGACGGCGCCGGCTCCCGGCCTCTTGAGTGAGATGAGCTCACAACCCTAGAGTCGGTCACGACTGTCCCGTACAGGCAGGGGTACCTTTAACTTTACCTAAATTTAGAGGCACAGCTTAAGGCACTTCTGGGTGACTTGTTCAATGAGCATACACCCGGATTTGTTTGTGAGAAGGTTGGGTGACATTCCATAATAGTGTGTGTTATTGCACACTGTCCAGTGTATTTCTCCATCACTTTCCATGCTGCAAAAAGTCGAATCTTTTGGAAAATCGTAGGGTCCAACCTCCTGCAATGCAGGAATATGCAGCTCTCCCTTACAGGGATTGAACCTGCAACTTTGGCATTATCAGCACTATTGGGCAACTTGAATTTGCCGGTATGTGATTGAATCCCACCTAAAAACAGCGAGAAGTCTGAAAGTGCCCTTAAGTTTATGCCCAAACATTATTATTAGTCGCTTCATACAACCTTTTCAGAATTGGTGGCTTTCGTGGAGCAACACTGCAGGTGACTAAAGCAGCCAAGCAACAGCAGGAGCCTGGAAACGGTTCCTTTTTCTGCGAAATGGCTGTGTTTCACAGCAATGAAACTGGCAGCTGCTGCTACTGAGCACCAGCCATTTTTCACCCCTGCAGGCATGACTATTACACACATGCTCCTCTGGAGAAGGTGTCTGCATTCATTGTCATGGACACTTAGCAGATAATGACTCATGAACTCACTACTATATGCTTATCCAGATCCCTTCCACCGTTTATTCGAGACCATTATGTAGTACTTCATGTGAGTTTGGTTGCAGTGGTGCTAGATAAAGTGCTTCCTACTTTAAAAAAAAATGTTTAGGAAAAATTGTGGGTTTTTTGCTAATACTAAAATACAGAACAGCAAACCTTCTACACTGCCTGGCCTCCCTGAGCATCCCATATCTTACAAGTGGGGAACCTGCAGGGAGAAAATGAGAAGGACTAAGAAGGGGGAAGGGACGTGGGTGGCGCTGTGGGTTAAACCACAGAGCCTAGGACTTGCCAATCAGAAGGTCAGCGGTTCGAATCCCTGCGACGAGGTGAGCTCCCATTGCTTGGTCCCTGCTCCTGCCAACCTAGCAGTTCGAAAGCACAAAGTGCAAGTAGATAAATAGGTACCATTCCATTGGGAAGGTAAATGGCGTTTCCGTGCGCTGCTCTGGTTCACCAGAAGTGGCTTAGTCATCCTGGCCACATGACCTGGAAGCTGTACACTGGCTCCCTTGGCCAATAAAGCAAGATGAGCACCGCAACCCTAGAGTCGGCCACGACTGGACCTATCTTTATCTTTAAGAAGGGGGAAAGGTGACAACTTAGGAACAGGCTCCCCAATTTCCCCCTCTCCTGCACCTGAGCGACCTGGTGTTCTTACTCATCGATAGTGGCAGCACCACACTTGTTTCAATGCCCTAGTTTGAACATGTGGGTGATTCATAAAGTCGAAAGAGACAGACCTAAGCCTTGCCTTCTAAGCATTAAATTCTGAGTACTGTGAAAAGTAAGAGTCGGCAAAATCCCCCAAGTAAAGTATTGCAGTTCAGTGTCCAGGTTGGAGATATTTATTAAAGAGGGACCATCATTCAGGGGTAGAGCCCGTTTTTTGAATGCAGAAGACAACAGAGAATTCTGTTCACCACTACTGGGGTGATGATACTGCTGAAAAAGCAAGAGCAGGGATCATTCAGTTTGCAATGGGTTAATTCTTTAATCAGGAAGTCAACTAACCATGCTGGGGAGGGAAGAGATGTTGCTTAGCAACCTGTCAGAGTTTCATGATGTTTGATTAAGTAGCACATGCTCTGATTGGCTGTGTAGTTCTGAGGAAGTTTTTTTCCTGTATGTTTGGTCAAATGTCTCCTTGCTATGTATAAGGTCTGAAGGAAAAGACAAAACACCTGCTTATTTCTCCATCTGCATTACTGAACTGACTTTGCTAATAGATTCAACTACCAGTCCAGTTCACTTCTGAATCATCAAAAATAGTGTTGGCCTCCAAAAACAACTCAGTAGCTAGGTTCTGTTCCTGTTCTTCATTCTCCGCCCCCTCCCCCAGGAGTACTCATTTTAAATTGTGTATCTTGCCTTTCCTAAAATTTATTCCTTCATGAAGAAAGTACATATGGTGGTGTACATATGCTTCTCCCAGGCAGTCACACATCCAGGCCCTGGCCAGACCCAGACTTGCTTAGTATTCGTAAGGTGATGGTCTCATGTCTTCAGACCATAACTATACAGTGGTACCTCAGGTTAAGAACTTAATTCATTCTGGAGGTCCGTTCTTAATCTGAAACTGTTCTTAACCTGAGGTAACACTTTAGCTAATGGGGCCTCCCGCTGCCGCCGCACTGCCTATGCACGATTTCTGTTCTCATCCTGAAGCAAAGTTCTTAACCCAAGGTACTATTTCTGGGTTAGCGGAGTCTGTAACCTGAAGCGTCTGTAACCTTCAGGTACCACTGTATATGAAAAGTAAAGATGGAGAATTGGCAGCACCTGCCCCCTGCCTCTCGGTATAGGGAAGCTTGATCCCATTCAACCATTTCTCCTCCTAGACCACATCTCTTGCTTAGAGCTCATTGACGCTGGTCAACAGAACACAGCAGAAGGCACTCAGAAGCAATCCGGCCACTCTCTGCATTGCTGCACCCTGGCTTCCTTCATTTTCTGGATCGTGCTCTCTTGGGATGCAAGAGCACGGCAGAACTGGATGCATATCAGATTCCTCCTTGATAATACAGTTTAGGAACGACCTAGATTGGGTTGTGATCAGTGCAGGGCCTGTTGATTCCCCCCTCCCCCCAAAAAAAAACCAAAACCTATGTGTGATTGCATGATTCATAGCTAGTGTGAAGCAGCTTTTCCACAGAAGATTTGGTTGAGAACATGCATTTTCTCTGAGTTTTATTATGCCATCTCCCCCAACCTCCCCTCGCCATCTGGTGTGCAAGCGGCTGAAAAGAACTGGAGAGCTTCATAATTGATTTGCCTTGAGGGGAAGTGCTTGGTCCTCCCTACTACCAAGGAGGAGTTTGTGGTTCAGGGCCATCATAGAGCATCCCTCCAGTCGCCAGTTAAAGAGCAATGCATGCTTTCACTGTAAAAACAAAATAAGCTACATGGGTGTTTCTCCCACAGATTATTACAATAGTATATTGTCTTTTTTTTTGTCTAGGTAAAATCTGTTTTCTTTCTTTGAATAAGCAGCATTTCAGCTTTTTACTCAAGAGATTATTGATTTAAATAGATGATAGCAAATCAAACCAATGGAATTTGAGTGTAGCTCTCCCCACCCCAGCAAATAAAACACTTGTTAATTTATTTCGCAGCTATCCCAGACCCTCTAAACAGGAGCTTGTTCTCCTCCTCCTACAAAGTTCTCACTCGTATCTTCCAGCATATCACAGGTTAAAATAGGAATGAGCCTCTGATGACTCTCCAATTCTTGTCCTGAGAATCGTTGCACAAGCCTAACCCCCTCCATCATTGCTGCCCCCCATCCTTAAAGGTAAAGGGTAAAG